TGGGGAGTCCAAAGCCCTTTGCAAGTCCAGGAAATGGGGAGGCCTAGGCCCTAGGGTCTCCTGCTGCAGCTCAGTCATCTTGTGAGGTTCAGCTAAGGAACTGAGGTTCAGTCTGGTGGAACTAGGCATGAGGAAAGAAAAATGTGCTCGCCCTGCCTCTCAGTTTGTCTAGCTGTACTTACGTATTTCAAGTAAATCCGACAAGCGCTGCGGACCTTCACCTTTACAACTCGGCTTCCACGGCCACATTTCCAGGGAGGCATCTGTCATCTTGGGAGCACAGCCTTGGTACTGGGCCGGTCTCCAGGACCAGCGAGCCCTCCCGAGCTCGGAAACTCAATTCTGCATGGGCACGGGCAACCTAGGCTCTGTGGTTGTTTGCAGGTTTTCTTTTTTAATTGACTTTTTGTCAGTTTAATTCTTTAGCTTCTATTTTTTTCATGGGCTATGTCAGACTTTCCCAAATGAATCCTTCTTCTAATTTAATTTCTTTTATGGAAAACTTCCTGTCTTTTCAACACACTGTTTACCTACTTTTGCTTTTATGTTTTTTTCCTTTATGCTTTCCCCCTGGTTTACTATAAAACTCTCCTTTCTCTTTATGGGCTTTGTTAGTGTCTGGCTTTAAAGCATTTCTGGGGATTTTAAAAGAATAAACTTGAATATCGCATAGAATTTGCTATTTAATTACACACTCAGAGCAGGTAGATTTGAAGCCTTTCAATAGAGAAGAATACCTAATGTTGGGCCACATACAGTTCCTGTTTTCTTGCAAGTGAACCTTATTTGTAATTCTATAAAACAATGGAGAGAAAGTAGCAGGAACTTAAATTCTACCAAGGAAGAGCATCACCCTTCAGGTAGGTAGTAATAGACCATTGACTGAAGAAGGGGTAGAGAAAAGACCATTGGTTCTAAGGTATATAGCTATCCCGATACACATGGCTGAACATAATGCACATCACTGAACCTAATGTTTATTGCTGACCCCAATGTATGAAAAATTTTTAAAGGAGACAAAAAGGCCAATCACTGCTAATTAAACCACAATGCACAGAAAAGGATCACAGAAGAAAACCCCGGATTCCTGGCCACCTAAATGCCACCGTAGAAGATTCTGTTCTGCCTTGATATACAAACAAGTGAATGTATTTAAAATTCCTTCCAATGGAGGATAAAGGATGCCAAGAATCCCCATCTAGAACTTACCAGTTGGTAAGCAGAATCATTGTGTCCCAGCAGAGCCAGACCTGGCCTCCGGAGCAGCCAGCCCACCTTTAGTGCCACATTTAACATGTGGCAGGAACAGCACTTCCATCCAAGCAAAGGTAGCTGCCATCAGTGTCAAGTGACAACAATGGTGACTGTTTCCCACCATGGCTCATGGTGACCTGTTGAGTCTGGAGCAAAACAAAGACACAGCCAACAGTGTAGGCTTACTCTAAAACCACGCCAGCCTCACGCTCAAGCACTCACCTCCCACCTTAGAGGGGCACCCTCTGTGCTCACACCACACTCGCAGCCCCTGATGGAAGGGGAGATGTCCTAGACTCCTCCTTCACCAGGGAGCACATTACCGAGTCAGTTAGTTCTTGAGAGTCAACCCCAGCTTAGTACATCTCCACGGTTCACTGCGTGAACCCTGTTTCAAAACTAAAACACCCTGTACTTGGATTTTCCAGAGTTCACAAAAACTGATAGATTTAGGTTACAGGGACAACTCACAAAATGTTTTTCAAAAGACATATGATTATGGAAAAAAAACGAAACTAGAATTGCAGAAATTAAATCAGTGCTTGGAAGTGCAGATCAACTAGTCTTCCAGAATAATTTGTTACTGGATAAAATAAGGAAGACTTCTAAAATGTAAGATGAAGTGTTATTTCCAGGGAAAGATGTTTAGTTTTGATATTTATTGTGGTGTTGTCAAAAGCATTTGACTGGTAATGGCCCATGTCCAAATAAAGCAAATTATGCATTTAACTCAGTTGAATTCAGCTAAAAACTGTTGAGCACCTACTCTGTCTCGGGTTCTGAGGTGGGCAGTTAGTGTCCACTATGGAATCTTCACCACACAAAGGCAGTGGGCTCTGGCCCAATTTTGCATTGAAAAAAAACAGGGACTCAAAGAGGCTAATAAGTTGCCCTAGGTCACAAGCCAGTCGGTATCAGCGGGGAGTTGCCTCTTTCTCTTTCCTATCCACTATGCACTCAGACCGCACCCTTTACCCCAAGAATTCACAAAGACTAAAGGGAAAGAGCAGCAGAAACTTATTTCTGAGTTAACTGAGAAAGTGGTTATTATCAGTCCAGCAATGGAAATCCACACGATAACAGAAATAAGGAGAGAACTAATGTATTTTTAAAAGTCATCTAGTTATTCCAGTCAGAAATGTGTGGCCTTGTTCTCAAGAAGATGCAGCTTCTCCTTGTTTTATTGGTGATCCCGTTTGCTCAGGCTGCTAAAACCAAATGCCAGAAACTGGGAAGTTTACAAGTAGCAGAAACTTATCCCCACTATCTGGAGGCCGGAAGTCCAAGGTCAAGTCACCAGGGATTGAGAATGTGGCAAGGGCCTGTTTGTTCATATAAAGCTGTCCTCTAATTCCAGCCTGCAGGGCTGAAGGCCCAAGGGTCTCTCCTGGCCTCTATCCTAAGAGGGCTCCACCCTACACCCCCACCGCCTCCCAAAGGCCATTACCTGGGGGTGAGGTTTTCAGCATACAAATTTTGTGTGGACATGAGAATTTCAACATGGCACAGTTGGGCTTTTCACGTTGCTTTGCACTTTGAAAATGGACGGAGGTGCTTCTCACCAGAGGGTCTGGGTGAGCCACCTGAGAGGCACTTGCCGGCAGCCTGGCTCCCTGCAGGCCTCACCACCGCCAGCCCAGGGAAGGCGTTCAGCTGCCACAGGAATGCACACAGTTCTCAAGTGGGAGAGACCACAGTGGAAACCAAGCATTCAAAGACCCCTCAAGATAGAGGAAAAGATTATTCAGCTGCACCAAACTCAGAGAGGCATCTGCCCCTTTAAGAATGAAAAAATAAAATAAAAATGCAAAAGAAGGACAAAGTTTGTTTTCAAATCCTATTGAGCCTCTTAGCAGCAAAGTCTTAATAACATTATTTCTTATATTTCTTTAAGTCCTTACAGGTGGGGCTCCCAGAGCAGTCAATCCTCGGTGGGGGGGGGGGGGCAGGTAAAGTGTGATGGGGACATAACAATTATGTCCCAGCTGCAGCGACATCGCGGGGACCATTCTACTAACCGCCTGGGAGATCAGAAGAGCAAGATTTAAATATCTGTCAGTAAAACTGATAGAACAGCCACGCCAGGACACGTGACAAGGCCTTTTCGGCATCATGGCACTGAGAGGCCTGGGGAGGAAAGAAGAGGCGCGGAGAAGGAGAGGATGGGCTGTCGGAAGGCAGAAGCCCGGCCGAGCTGCAGCCCCGCGGCAAGAGCGCACCCGCCTCTGAGCTTCCGGTTCGCCAGGGCGCAGGGCGCAGGGCGCAGGGCGCAGGGCACACCGGGGTCGGGGCGCACGAGCGAGCGCTGGCCTCGCAGCTGCGCGCCCACTGCGCGGCCACCTCAGGCCTCTGCGCGCTGGGCCACCCTGGCGGACTGATTAGCCTTTGGGCAACTCCAGCTCCGCTGGTTCGCTTTCCTGGCGCAGGCTCTTCTCACTCCATCTCCATCTGCGATGGACTCTGTTGGTGTCCAGACCTCCTGTGGGCAAGGGCACCTCTCTTCTCTGAGCCACCTGGACTAGTTTTCTCTTGGCTTTGCTGTGCTCCAAGCTTGAAGCCAAAATGTTGCACCTGACACACGAGGTGATATCTTGCCAGCTGCTTCTGACCTGCAGGAAGTCGGCGCCGCACAAACCCACACCAGACCATGAAGACAGGACTGGCTGGGCCCGGTGGCACCCGGCATGCCACAGGGAGAAAGCACCAGCAGAGAGGAGGGACTGGGGGTGGGGAGGAGCCTCTGTTATTTCTAGTGCTCCTGCCAATTCTCCAATCTGCAGAGATAAATTGCAATGCAGAGGAGGACAAGTTCTGGTTCCAAGAACGTCTCCAAGGAAGACTCCTTCAACCAACACTCATCAATGAGTCTGAGATTCCAGGGACCTCCTTGTTAGGTGCCCAAACTTGGACCTGTCACCAAGTCTAGAGCAAGCCGTGCTCTGCAGGAATGAATGTCAGAAGATCTGGCATCCCCCCTTCTGATTCGATCTGGAAGGGTTTTGTTATTTGATGCTCTTTAAACAAACTTCATGTTACACTGGGAGTTTTCCATTGAACTGAGTGCCAGTGGGATCTGAGGGTGCAGGGCAGAATGAGAACCCATGGACATGAAAGAGAAGAGGGGAAGAGAAGATGCTGGGTGTATTCATGGGGAAATATTTCCTGAAGTTCCTTAAGAAACCCATAGACAGTGGACGTTCTGGGTGGTTTTGAAGAGGGGAAATCATTTGAAGATTCCAAAACATTAGCTGCAATTGAATTGTCCAAATGTGCAATGATACAACGTCCACTTTGGGATAGTAGGCCTAAACTGGAGGTACATATGAAGACAATTTGTAAATATCCCATGACTCAGTCTATGGAATAAAGCTCCCGCTGGCAGGAAGCAGGATGTGGGCATGTATGTGCACAGGGCCTGGAGAAAGCCCCTTGGCTGCCATAGCCTGTCATGCACTGCACTCAGTCACTTAGAGGCCACACAGGCTGGTCAGGGCAGAATGGCCGCCTTAGTCAGGAATGGAAAACAGCTACCTGCAGCAGATACTCAACAGTGGCCAAACGTGCGTGTTGACCACACAGGAGGGGAGCTACTGTGCTGTGGCTGCCCACTCACTCTCTGGGCACCTTCATCCCTCCCTGTCCTTCTCAAAAAGTGGCTCTAACCAGAGCTGTGTTCTGATTTTTGCTAACCCTGGCATGATGCTGAAATCTTTGTCCTTGTCCCCATTGCTGATCCAATAATGAGAAAAAATAAACAGAAGTTTTATTCATTTGCTCGAAAAGAAGAACACAGTGGGCTCTCGTCTCCGAGTCTGTGATTCTAACTGCAGAAGGAGCAGAGGACTTTTAAAGTGGTGAGATACAGACTAAGCTCCAGTTGTATCTCTCTGGAGTCATAATCCGTGGTGTGATCCTAGCCTTGAGAGAAAACCATTCCTTAGATCCAGTGGGACCAGCTCCCAAGTTCGAATCTCTTCACTTCTGTGGTCAGCGAGCCAGAAGAGAGAAAACTCAGCTCAGGACAGGAAGAACGTTAATCTTGTTTCCCCCAAATCTAGGGAGGGCAAGAAGGAGAAAAGGGAAAGAAAAAAATATGTCAATTTTATTTAAAAAAAAAATTGGTACTAGGGCTTGAACCCAGGGGCACTTTACCATTAAGTAATGTCCCAGTATACCCCCCCCCCCCATTTTTGAGACAAGTTTTCACTAAGTTGCTGAGACTGGCTTCAAACTTGTGGTCCTCCTGCCTCAGCCTCCTTGTCATTGGATTATGGGACATGTGCCATCGTGCCTGGCAACATGTCGATTTTAAAATTAGTCACCAGTGGTCAAACAGCAAGGTTTATATTCAAAGCATGAAGTGGACCCTGTGACATACAAAGGAACCCCTGTTATAGGCACTTTTGCCATAATGAGTGAGTTCTCAAAGAAATATTGAAAATGACATTCTATAGCTACATTGGCGTTAGGACAGATTGGTTAGCATTATGTTAAAACACTTTTAATTTAAAAGTTTTTTTTTCTTTCTGATTTTAATAAGAATTCAAACTTTTATTGAGTTCCTAAAAGTATTATGGATACTAGGTACTCGGCGTGCTGTGCCTAGTGGACAAATCAGCCCTAGTTCCAACCATCACATCTGTATTCCTGACATCAGCAAAGGGGGTAGAGAAGGGTGAGTCAGATCTCATTAGGCACCTTGCTGGAAGACCCCAACTGATTAGACAGAGCTCAGTCAGATGACCACGTAGCATGGCCAAAGAGTCTAGGGAAAGTAATCATTATTCTGAGCGTCAAGGGCATATCCGATGGCGTTAGACTGGCAGCTAGCAGAATCTGCCAACACTGCCAACCCAAACTGATGGATTCCTCTCCTAAATGAATAGAGGTGACACATACCACATAACGAATGACCACAAAGCTTAATCTGCTAGAGGTGGCACTGAGGTCTCCTGAAAGGCAGCCTATCCAAAGAAAAGGGGAACACTCCCCTCCCTTGCTTGTGTCCATAACTCCTGGCCGGATCTTTCTGGTAGCCTGAGGCTGCGTGTGTGTCCGTCACCACCCACCTGGGCTCACGCCCATGCCCAGTTCTGATGCTGTGATCAGGCCCACCTGCCTGCAAGGCTGACTCTCCACTCACCTCTTCTCACCTAAAAGTGTGTCCCAACGGCTCCTGCAGTCCCTGCCCGACCGGCAGGCTAAGCGAGCTGGTCCTCGGTGCACTTTGGTAATAACCCCTGGAAAAATATTTATCTCTAAACACAAAGTAAGTATTCAAAAGGGATTCTGAGTGAACCAACGAGCTGCATATTTTAATCAATTACTCATGTGCTGGTTTTCTTGAATATAGTCTTGCCCTCAGGTACATCCATAGAATCTGAGTGTTTGGCACACAGTAGGTGCTTACTAAATGGCTACTAAGTGAAAAAACAAACTTCAGGTGGCCTAAAATGTCAGAATTCACTGGCTGAGGTTGATGAAGGGCCCAAATGCCATTGCTCCCTTGAAGCTTTCAGACTCTTGCTCCAGAGGTGGTGCTGGGTACAGGAAGCCCTGCAGGGAGGGCAGGCTGGCGGGGACGCACGGCCGGGCTGGTGGTCGCGTGGCTGCTTGGACCAACTCTGCTCCTCCGTCCGAGGAATCAGAATCTTTGAGATCAAGGTGAAGTGAAAAAATAATGCAGTAGGGGTTTTAAAGCCCTCAAAGGGAAATCTACCACTTTTTCAAAAACTACAGATTTTCAGGTTTTTTTTCCTTTAGATGACTTTAGAAGGGACTCCACACTATGACACGGAGAGACACAGTTTAGTCTTAGTTCAAGAAAAATCTGTATGTAGCAAAATGAATTTAAAACCAAGACAAACACCTAGAAGAGTGCCCAGCACTAAGAAAAGAAAAAAGGTGCTGGACAAAATCAATGAATAAAAATGGTGATAACCAGCCGCAACGTGCTTTGTTACTTTTCCGAAAGAACTCACAATTGCATTCTTTCATCAGACCACTTTGGTGTAAATTTAAGTGATTTAATATATTTTAAAAACCCAGTTTACACTTACTTTTCAATAGAAGACCTCATTCTTAAAGTCAGCTGTGATTCTAGGTGTACCACGGTGGCAAACAAAGGGATAAGGGTTTGACCAGTTCCACACTCTAGGTGGAAGGCAGGTGTCCACTGAGAACAGTGGATCGCCACAGGAAGCAAGAGGACAGGATGTGCAATGCAAACCCCAGGAGACCATGCAGGTGGCATCTTCCCACAGACGCAGAATAAGTGACATGCCAATCAGGCCAGGAGGAGAACCTTATTAAGACACACACACACACACACACACACACACTTTATTCCTAGCCAAGAGCTAGCATAACAAACTGTGCTTTGGGGTTCAGAGGGTGAGAGCACAGGGGGCTCCTGCTCTGTGGCCTCAGATCCCGCTGCCTCCTTGAGAGGCCGCCCTCGGTGGAGCCTCCCGCACACCTGGGCAATGCCGGGCGCGCGGGCTCTCCCTTTGCTGTACTTGACTTTTCAGGCTCTTCCTTCAAGGGGAGGGCTGGAATGTTGCTCAAAATTAAAAATCCAACAAGACCCGATAATTTAGGATTTAAAAAGTCTCTTGGAGAATTAGCTTGACCCCAATTCTCCATCCCCCTCTTGTTCTTCCTCCCCCACCTGTGTCCAGGGGACTTCCGCTTGGCCCCTGGGTCGGGGCAGGTGCCCTCAATTCCCCTCAGTGCCCCTCTCTCCCTTCCTCAGGTTGTCCAACAGAACTGCTGAGGGCTTGATCTTTCCAACCAGCAGATATCTTCTCCGGCACCTTGTCAAACCTTCCTGTCCTTGAACTGACCCTAGGCTACTCCCAGTTCTCTGGGATCCTCAGTACCTTTTTAGTGCCCCAGTAAGGAGAGGGCATGTTCCAGAGCCCCCAGAGGGACTTCCTGCACCTTGCAAGGGTGCAGACCTGCACTTGGCCACAGCAAGCCCAGCTAAAGCTTCTTCAAATCTGCTGCTAGATTCATGGTGCCCTAATTCCAGGGCTGTTCTGAACCCATTCTCTGAGGACCAGTCAACTTCCTGGTGGGCCCTGGAAAGCAGGTATGGTCTCCCAGGGGGTCTGAGCTCAATGCATGAGGCCTGCGAGGTGGGGATGCAGAGCCCGGGAGACCCGTATCTCAGCCTTCTTCCCCCAACACTCCCAGATCAACCAGCTTTTGAATTCACTTGTCCTTGGAGGAAGGAAAAGGCTGTGAGCTCATCTAATTTTTCTTCTTTCTTTCAAGCTTTGTATAAATTCTATGCATAGCATTCTAAGCTTACTTCTTGATATTCAAATCCCAACTTCTTAGATCCCTAAAAAAAACCTTTTTATTATTTCCTCAGTAAAGTCTTGTTATTGTAAATCAGACTCAGCCTGGCTCTGCTGCTGCCTCTGCGGCTTGCTTAGGAGCCCACCTGGAACTGCACCCCGCTGTGTACCAGGCTCCCGAGAAGGTGTGTACCGCTGCCACGGAAACAGGCAGAGACAGGGTAAAGGGGATGGAAAAGCTAATAACTTAATACCAAATCAATGTCACAATTAAATATGGGCACTCAGGAGCCAATTAACTATCATCCAATTCATATGCTCTTGTTCAGATTATTGATTCATGTGTTAAAAAAACTCACCCTCCAAGCAGCAGTGATAAATATAATTGATTTGTCTTAGTAACATCATGGGGTTTGTTGATTAATGTATACATTTATGACATTATAAAATGCTTTGCCAAACACATGCCACCACCCAGCAGGGATGGATTTGAAAAACCTTGGAAGCAAAGATAAAATGTCTCAATTTTTTTTCGTACATCATATCATTATCACAGGATAACTGGATGCCCAATAGATGCTCAATAAATACCCCTGTGCACACAGTTGATGGAGTTCAGCTCCATTCGCCATTCTCTATTTAAACACAGGATCATATAAAGGAAACTGGTGGCAGTCTGTTGAAAGAAGATGGTGTGAGGGGAAGGTAGGTCTTCCTATTATCCAGTATCTGATAGATAATATCTGTGGGCAACGGAAGCAACACGTTAAGCAATATTCATGGAAACCTGAGATCACTCAACAGGTTAGGTGACTACTTATCATTCAAAGTGGGAACTGTCTTAAAGAAAAACGGAGCACTATTAATTATTAATTTATCTCACTCACAGAGAGATGTGTGGTTGCCCTTGACTTAGGAGAGCTTATGACATGATGGAGTCACAGGACATTCAAGTTGGGAAAGACCTAGGAAATAATTGAAAATCACCTTCCCTGGAATGAAGATGTTATTTCTAATATGTTGGCTTTGTTCATACTGAGAAGTACCAGGAAAAAAATTATTTTACATTCAAACAAATTTAATGCACACTTTTGGAGATGTACAACGCATATTAACATATTAAAGGGAAATTCTTTAGTAAGTAAGGCAACTTTGCCTAAATTAGAATCCCCAGAATATTTGTGCAATGATCTTCTCCACCATTCTTATTGGTTTGCTTTGGGTAACATGCTTATTAATATCTTGTGGGAAGAAACATGTATGTAGTTTCATTTCCTAATTTTCTGAGGCAGGAAGAGTCAAGAAGATTAAATAGTTTCTCTAAGGCCTCATACTCAGAAGCAGGACTAAAATAGTAACAGCAGCAGGGCTAGTATCAATAGTGTCAGCAGTAATAGAAACAAACAAAAAAAAACACCAAAAGAACAAATAACCAATCAATAAATGGACAAAAGAACTAAACAGATACAAATGGGCTACAAATACATGAGAAAAGGTTCAACGTCTCAAGCAGTTAGGGAAATGCAATCAAAACTACATTGAGATTTCATCTCACCCCAGTCAGAATTATAAGAATTCAAAGAATAATAAGTGTTGGTGAGGATGGGGGGGGGAGAGTTTCTCTCATGCATTGTTGGTAGGAGTGCAGTGTGGAGAATCTTCAGAAAACAAGGAATGGAGCTACCATGTAACCCAACTCTGCCACTCCTCGGTATATATCCAAAAGATCTCAAATCAGCACACTACAGTGACACAGCCACATCCATGTTTATAGCAGCTCAATTCACAAAAACCAAGCTGTGGAGCCAACCTAGATCCCTTCAACAGGTGGATGGACAAAGAAAACGAGGTGTGTGTACGCAATGGAACGTTTCTCAGCTACAAAGAAGGGTGACGTTGTGGCCTTTCCTGGAACTGGAGACTGTCATGCTAAGAGAAATAAGTCAGACTCAACAAGTCAAAGGTCGAATGTCTTCTCTGATTTAAGGAAGCTAGTTCAATGAGGGGGTATAAAGAGAGAAGGAAAAGAGGGAGACCATCAAGATGGAAGAAAGAATAGTGAACCAGATGGAGGGACGGCGGGGAGGGCGAGGATAAGGGAGGAACACAGAGCGAATCTGACCTGACTCTCCTGTGTACATACGGAACAGACCACAGTGAACAGGCACTCATCAGAAGCAAACTGTGGGGCTCCAGAGCTGCGTCATTCTGCGACCCAGGCAAGGGCAGTGTGCACCCCGCACCCTCCACACTGCAGCAGGGCCTGACGTAGGCGGGCACCTCATAAATGTCCACTGACTATTGAGTGAATCAACGGTCATGCACAGTGAGAATCAGACTCAAAGGAACAGCCCCCGTGCCCAGGTGTTTCTCTGTTACCATGAATCCACAAATCCTCTTCTAGCTCTTTTGCCCTCTCCAAGGGAGAAATGAACAGTGCGGCCTCTGTTCAGAACAGCTCTGCCAGTGTTCTTGAATTCCAGGGAAAGAAGAATCATCGAGGATATTTCCCCACGTAACTGAGAAAAGACACATTATAGCAGTTTTGAAAATTACCTCGGAAGATGAACACGCAGAAAAGTGAGATTTGAGGAGAGCCGTGCTGTTCACCAGGTTACACACTTAGAAGATGCTCACCACAAAATTCTTCTGTGAACAATGCTCCAAAAAAAGGTAACAGCAGGTGTTGACAGCCAGGAAGGAGACTGCCTACAAAGTGGAGGGCAGGACCTGACTAAAGGCAGCTGGGGGTTTTAACGAGCCACAGGGGGCACTTGGTGATCACTGTTTAATAAAGAGAAGGTAAACAGAAGGGGACACGATGGGTGTCCTGAACCAGAGACATCCTCAGCAAACCACTCATCTTCAGTCTGGAGTTCTTGACTGCGGTACTCCCTCCCTGTTCACAGGGGTCTGTTTCAAAGAGGTCAGATTTTATTTTCAGCCTAAGTGAAAAATTAAGGGACAAGATCATGACATGATACTGTCTTCAAATATCTGAAGAGCTTTTCTCAGAGTGAGCAAGTGGCCTTACTCCTGGACCCATGGGCAGAAGCAACAGGAAGCCCGTCCCTGTGAACCAAGAGCTGTCTATTCCAAGCCCCCACTAATGGCCGGTTTGCCTGGAAAACTGGAGCTGAGTGTCCCTCCACTGAGGCACCTGGGCAGAGGTGGGCCACCAGGTCTCAGGGTGCCACCAAGGGCCAACTTTCATTTAAGCATGTTGACATCCAGCCGTCCTTTAACCTCTGGGAGTCTCCCTCTCCAAGACCGTGGAAGACTTCCGTTTCCCGCAGTTTCAGCCCTGACCCAGAACATTGGTGAATGTTGTTCCCGAGGACTGTCAGACACCATCCAGCCACTGGAACAAACACTCTTCACTCAGCTCACAGGCTCACACAGACTCCTTCCCATTGTGCAAGAGGAGCAGGAGGGCAAGACGGGCATCCCATGGAGACCCTGGTCTCTCATCTCCTTCTGGCCTGGGCTTGCCAGGAGAACACACCAAAAGTGGTAGAAATTGGCCCAAGTTGCCATGATACAAAACCTCCGTGAGCCCTCAGGAGAGCGGAGGACTGGGGCTAGCTCTAACGGGGTGCTGTCTCGCCCTTATCATTGCCTGCTCCATTTAAATGTGATAAAAGACCCCTTGCCAACCTCTAAGAATAAGACCAATGAGAACACAGGCAAAAAGGCTCTCAAAAGAGGTGTCCACAAAGATGCACCATGTCCTTCGGCTGTATAACCCCACAAAACTTTAAAACACTAATATATCAAGAGTTGGTGAGACTGAAACCAGCAGAACTCACAAACGCCTGGTGTGAGTGTCCATGCTCACATATGCTCATCCTCTGGCCCAGAAATGGCCCTCCTACGCATGTGTGGAAATGTGTGCTTTTGTGCATCCAACGGCCTGCACAAAATGTTCACGGCAGCAGTGTTATGACAGCTAAGTACTGCAGTACAGCTCAGGTGTCACCAACAAGAGAAACAGTGGACAAGGCCTGGTCTGCCCATGACGTGAAACCCTCTGCAGCGATGGGAATGACGTAGAATGACGCGCAGCACGGTGCACCATGGCTGAGTCTCGTGATACTCCATGAAAAAGCTTGGACAAAATCAGTACAGGGCATTCCTACAGGAGAACAGGAGGAGGATGGTGGAGACCTGCGGCTGCGGCCAGGATGCAGCCAGGAACAAGGAGAACTTCAGGTGTTGGGCTGCTGTTCCTCTGGGCTTGCGCTGTGGGGAAGGAGACGTGCTCACTGTGTGCAGAGTTGCGATTTGTGCATCTTTCTGTAGTCATTGCATCAAAATATAGTCATTAAAAAACTATTAGATGGAAAATGTTCTTGTAACTTTTAGCCTTTAAACTTTCCATGTTATTTTAACTTTTTTCAATGCTAAATAATTCTAAAATTCACACTGATGATATGCTAATTATGAGAAGGACAGGAAATCAAGTAATGGATCAGAAAAAATTGGTGTATTCCAGAAGGAAGCTAAGCCCAGTGCTGGGAGTGAAGAGGCGTTCCAGGGGAAGCCGTGATCAGGAGAGGCACCGGCTCCAGGAGAGGCTGCATGGCTGGTGCTGTTCACAGACAGCAGAGATCTCCCACGCAGGTGCACACCGACTGTGCAGGTTCTCAGAGCTGAGACCCTGTCCCTTCATTCCCACTGCATAGTCACACAGCGTCTTGCCTCCTGAAGTTCCTCTCTTGTGCAAAGATATCAGATATTTATCTCCATTTTAAATGTACTGTTACAGGCCAGTTGCCCACAGGGCTTGGGACAGTACAGAATGGCTGATAGACACAGTTCCTACTAATACTCAACATATTGTTCTGTGATTTAAATTGAATTTATAACAATTTATAAAATATTTTTTTAAAAAAGTGTTTCCCATTCTCCACTTTAGAGTTGTTCGCTTTGATTACAACTTGTTGCACACACCGTCACATGTTTATGTGTTTAGTTTGAGGTAATTTCTTATGGCCTTACTAAATTACTGAGGCTGACCTCAAACTTGTGCTCCTCATGCCTCAGCCTCCCAAATTTCTGGAATTTCAGACATGTGCCACTACACCCCTCTAGAGAGGTTACTTTGGCAAATACAAAAACAAAAAACAACTCAACAAAACATAACTGAAAAATACTGAAGCAACAGATGAAATGAGAACTCCCTACATAATTCTGAACACAATCTGGAGCCCTGCTTTATGTGTGTGTGTATAGATAACTGCATTCAGATCTCTCATCCATCCATCCATCCATCCATCTATCTGTTGTGATTCTTATACAAATATAAACTCCCTGGTCCCCAGAGACTTGAGATTGGAGCCAGAGTGTCCTGAGGGAAATCTCACCTTGCCAGTCTGAATGATCACTGCTTCTCCGACTAGTGCAGCCTCACGCTGCTGCTCCCATACCACCGTCACAGGCATGGGTGGGAGGGCTCTTCTTTGTAAACAGAAACACTGCCGGGAGGCCACCCCTGAGGTGCACGTGCAGGAGAGCTCCCTCGCAGGACATTTGCACGTGTAGACCTCAGGGCTTTCTTGCAGATCTCACACCCTCCCAGGACCACGAGTGCTGAGACCTCTGCTGCTTTGCAAAGCTGAAAAAGTTCCTCACCGAGCACTTGTGGAAGGAGGGCAGAAACCCAATTCCTGCCACATGAGATCCCCTGTCTTTCTTGCCTTGCTTCCGATTTTCCCTTTGAAAATGTCACTATGGGTGGTTTTGCTGCTTTCACTGAGACCACACCATGGCCATCTGCTGTCCTTCGGTCAAGGGCGATCTGGAATTAAAACAAGGCTGTGAGTTCTGCACCTCCTTCCCCTCCACAACTTTGGGCATATCCTCCCGATTTTTCTAGATTTTCATTTTCTTGAGAACAGTCTTCCACATCTCATCTTAAGTATCGATGCAGCAAATTCTATCTCTGTGTTCTTTAAGCGTCCAGTCAGACACTTCAAGGACTGCGTGACTGAATACCGTCAGTGCCTTGAGCTTCACTATTTCAAAGTCACTTTGCACCCAGCTACAAGGCCCATCCAAGTTACCAAAATGTGACCGAAGGACAGCGTGGCGGAGTAGTAGGTGAGATCACCCTTTCACAGAAAACAATTAGAGGACACCTACTTTGATAAAAACTGAAGCAACAAAAACTGGATCAGAATCTGGGCTTGAAGGGTGGGAACTTCAACAGGTGAGATTCAGGGATCTGCAGCTTGTCGCCTGAGGGTCCTCCGCCATCATGGACTCTGTGCAGCCGAGAGCCCATCATGCTGGCTGCCAGTGTCAGAGGACAGAACAGACGAACGGCAACACAGACAGAAGGACATCCTGAAGCAGAGACGACTTGGTCACAGAGATCCAAGGATGTCCATAAAAAGAAAAGTTTACAGGAAGCCAAGATTGACACCTCTGTCCACTGCTGGGGACATGGAGTTTGGCGCCCGAGTCCAGACAAGTTAACTGCCTGCCGGGACAAAAGCCAACCCTCCCCAGGGACAGAACAGTGTCCACAGTCTCCGTGCCTATTAGTATGTCCCAACCATACCTAGAAATCCTAGACCCTGGAGGAACAGAGACTGACCAGAGCCCAAGAGAAAAAGCTGTCGAAAGAAAGGAAAGGAATGGGAAACCCGGAGATGACCCACACGTTGCAATTAGCAGACAAGATTTTAAAGCAATCATCACAAATATATCTGGAGACTCAAAAGAAAGTATCCTCAAAATGAATGTACAATCCCGAAAGAGAAATAAGAATTTTTTTTCCAAAAAGCGTATTCTAAAGTTAAAAAATAAAATTCTAATGAAAACGCTATGGACTTGGCTTAATAGCAGATTCAGTGAACTTGAAGACAGATAGAAACTATCCACCTGTAGATCTGAGAGAAGAGTAATGGAATAAACATAAATGGTACCGCAAACATCTGCTAGACCGCGGCTCACATGCAAACACACGATCATGTCACTGGAACCCAGGACAGAAGAGAGAAAGGGGCAGGATAAAATAATTGAAGAAGTAATGACGGAAAACTTCCCAGATTTAAGAGTTAGCCAAAAGGACCATTCAGGTGGAAGAAAGCACTTACGTCCAGATGTGAGGACTTGTCCCTAGCCCCCAAAATACTTGGGATACTCAGGCTTTATAAGCAAAATGATCAGTGGCCTTAAACTGAAAATTGGTTTCTTTCCAGAATTATTTTCAATGCTTCTCAGTTGCTCACAGCAACTTGATTTGAAGATGGGTCTATTTCTGTGCCTGGACAAGAAGCATGAAGTGTGAATGCTTTTGCCTGCTTCTCGGCCTGCGGCAGTCAGCACCAGTGCCCCCCGAGCCTCCTTCCAGACCAGCCTCAGGACTGGCCCCCACCCAGGCCGGCTGCACCCCAGAACCGCACTGTGGAGGGCAGCCTCTCACCCCTTGGTGGTGCAGGACTCCTAATTTCTCAGCAATGGAACCGTGCCCTTCACTGTGTATTTTTTCTGCCTGGAGAACAGCTATTTCTTTCTTAATAAAACAGTACAGTGTGTTTCTTCCATGATTATCTGAGACTCAGCTCAGTTATAAGAGTGATCAAATAAAGAATTAAACACTCAGGATTTAACCAGCTGAATTGGACAAAATTACTATTCTCTTTCTTCAACATTATCTCTTCCTAATCTATGATTTTTCAGGACAATGTCTGTCATGCATTTCAATAGCACATAAAGAAAAACAATTAATATATACTAAAATGAAACTCCCTATACTACAGAAAACAAATGAGAAAAGCTTGTTAAAAAACAACATTAACTAACATTGTTGAGTTTATTTGAATAAACATTTATTGAGATCCTATAGGGTACCAAGTTTATGTCATTTGGTTATTGTATGATGGTTTACAGCATAATATATTTTTTCAATAGAATGTGTTTTTATATATGTATCTTTTTAAATGTTATGCATAAAAATATTTATGATTCAAAAGAATGCCCAAAGAAGACAATAAGCAACAACCAGTAATATTTTCACAAACCACATCTCTGAACTTGAACTGCCTCAAGTGCTAGCCTTAAGTGACATCTTGAATTCATGGAATGTTTTACCTATTAGCCAGGATTAGGTGGTCAAACTGGCATTGGCAAAGTGACCATCAGCTTAATTTTCCCTGTTTTTATTTTTAATTAATTTTTTTTCTTCTCAAATTTCAGGGTCATAACCCATGTGATCCATGTAAACAAAAATTCTTAAGAAAAAGATGAATCAACATTGTAAGCATGTTACAAAGGAATAAATGAGACAGGACAGTTCAACTCTGAGGGTGACATCTAGCTTGCTTTAATGGAAATCTGTTCAATTAAGCAAGCAGAACTTTGGAGAGGGTAAAAGTTGTGTAATCTGCCCAAAAGTCCCATGAAGCCCTGCCAGGGAACATTCTGAAAGTGTCCCATCACCTTCCCTACCTTCCCACCGGGGACTCTCCACAGGACAAGGTGGCCTGTCTGGTTTGTTAGGGAGAGACATCAAACGCACCAAACCACAGCACACCCCTAGAGCATCGAGTCCAAACACGCCCCTCCCACCTTTACATGCCCACCTTCAAGCCCCTGTACCGCTGGCTGAGCTTGTAAGAGGACAGCGGCTAGGGGGTGGGGAACCGAGATTCTGAAGGAAAGGAACTCTAAGATGAGGAGAGAAGGTGAGCAGGAGTCAGCCACCCCAGGGAGGGAACACCAGGGCCGGCTCCAGAAGGCAGGCGCTATTTGAGCTGTAAAAAGCAGTCATTTGGCGGGGTGTGGTGGAGGAGGCTGGGCTCTGTGGGGAGCTGCGGAGGGCAGGTGCACAGAACAGGCATGGCAGAGGAGACTCTGTCACAAAACTGCTGTTAAGAGGTACAGAAGCACCCGATGGCCTCCGTCAGAGCAGTGCACGGCAAGATTCGTATTTTCAACAGAGCATCCTGGCTGCGCCACGGAGTGTGGCACAAAGCAGTTGACGTCAGGCCCAGGGATGGGAAACTCCTGCCACCTGGATGGAGCAGAACAACGGCAAGAATGGAGGGAAGCAGTGGAGACGGGAGGGAAGGAGTGTGGGAAATGCTGAGGGGCTACGACAACAGACTTGACATGGAGGGCTGGAAAGACAGTGAAATCAGAGTCATGACCAGGATCTTTGGCCAGGACAAGTGGCCAAGAAAAAGGTACATTCACTGAGCACAGGAGGAGGACCAGGTGTGCACAGTGAGAGAAAGAGCTGAGTTTGGGTTGGCTTGAGTATGAAGGGAGCACAGGACAGGAAAGCAGAGGTAGCAGCAGTCACACAGGTCTGAGTTGTCACCCTTAAAGAGGGCAGACTGAATCTGGGCATGGTGGGGCTCAGGAGGCTGAGGCAGGAGGATCAAGGGTTCAAGGCCAGCCTATCAACTTCACAAGGCCCAAAGCAACTTAGAGAAACCCTTTCTCAAAATTTAAAAAAAAAAAAAAAAAAGACAAATTGAAGTTATAGAAGCCAGTGAACATCATCCAAGGAGTGAGGTCTGAGGATAACCCCAAGGGGAACTTGAGGAGCAGGCTACCTGAAGGGAACCGGCGAGCGAGAATCCAGGAGGGAAACCGACAGAGACCAGCCACCAGAAAAACAGGGAATTTGTCCAAGGGGCCACTTGGAAGGATCAACAGTGCCAGTCCCTATGACCACATGGTGAACTCAGCGCAGCTACCCGTGTTTACTCCAAGATGCTAATAGAAACAAACAGCAATTAGCTCAGGGTGAAACCCTGTCCTTTCAATCTGCTCAGCCGTCTCCTTTCAATCAGTTTCATTAGGGATGCAATTATGGAAGCTCCTGATGTCACCTCTGCAGCCTCCTCTTCTTTACATAGTCACAAGGTTGTCACAGGAACGGGATGAACTCCAGAAAAGTCCTGGTCACGTGGTCTTTCTACCAGCTCTCCGACTGGCCTGTGCTTCCACCACAAATGAGCCAGGGCTAATTTGGCAGCACACATTCCAGCTGATTCCACCCCCTTCCTGGTGATTGCCCCATTTCTTGGTGGGTCAAATGGAAACTTGGAGATTGTTTCTTTGCAAATATGGAAGATTCCCCAAACTCACCCAGCCATCAGTGCCGAAAGAGCACAGCTCACCGCCGACACCTGCGGGCGGGGGCGCCTCGCCCCTCATCACGTGGGGGACTGCCTTGCCTCCGTCCTTCCTGCGGCAGTGAAGCCTTGCAGGGGTGGGGGGAGCAGGGTGTTGATTCTAGAACTTGAGGTGAGTTGAAATCCTGGTTCCAGCTCTTTACCGCTCTGTGCCCAGGGTGAGTTACGGGTCTTTAAAGCGTTGTTTTCCTCTTTTATTGAATGAAGATAAAAAATCCTGCCCCCGTTGTTACTAGGAGAAGTAAATGGTGCAGTGTGGGGTGCTGCTTCACACGGTCTAGCACAGAACAAGCTCTAGGGGAAAAAAAATGAAACAGCCCCTTTCTCCTGACCCTGCTGGACAGATGGCAGGAGCCCGGGGCCGAGGGCGCTTCCCCTGGATGCTCTCCATCTCATGGTCTTATTATGAAGATTAAACTCACATATATATTTGAAACGCACTGAGTTGGAAATGACTAGAGATGGGCCTGGGGGTGCTAAAGAGAGGAGAGAGTATGATGTCGGACTCTGTGGAGCCGAGGCACAGCACCGCCCGTCTTTGAACTCCGGTGCTTGTTAAGGACGCGCTGGAGAACTGTACAAATGGAAGCAGGATTCTGGCAGAGCCCTGTGTGTGGCCCGTGGAAGGGCGGGGCGTGGGAGTGTCAGTGTGGGCAGGCGGCGGGTGATAGGACTGAAATGTGAGTGTGAGGGAAGATCAATGGCCACACTGTTTGCACATCGAGGCACTCGGAGAGGAAACTAGCCCGACCTCCCTGATTGTGAGTTATAGAGGCAGCACTAATGTACTTATTGAAAACCTCTACTGTGGGCTTCAAAGGCTTTAAAGGTATGGTCTTTACCATCCAGAGGCTTATAAATGCAGGAGGGTAAAATAAGAAGTATCCACAAGTATGACAAAATAACACATGGAAAGTGTCACAAGTCAGGTGTGGTGGCAGAGTGGCTGAGTGGGGCCTCTGGTGCTGTCTGGTTGGGGTCTGGGTCCTGGCCCCGGTTCTGACCATGGAGGGAAGCTGCAGGCACTGGCCTGCCGTGGCTCCAGGCCCTTGGTAACAGGCAGCCGGGCGAGGAAATTCAATGAAATGCTCTTACTCCCTGGCTTGCATGTAGGAGAGTCGTCCATATAGGGCAACTGTTCTCATCATTGGTGCCTCGGGGTCACCTACTGCATTCCTCAACAATAGTCCTCTCAGCTCGAAAGCTGGACAATTGAACAAAAATTGCTACAGCCCGGATTGATCCTAAAAATCCATCAATGAAACAAAGAGGGAGAGAGATACCTCAGATCGGGGGAGGTTCTCGAGGTGGAGGCCAACCCACACTTCAGGGCAGAGCGGAAGTGCTGTGGGGCTTGGCCATGTGACGTTTGGCTGGTGAGCACATGATTTTAGTGGCAGGGAGTGGTCCAGAAAGGGAACTGGGAGATAGGCTGGACAATTCAGTGGCGGTCAACTAAGAAACCCTTTGGTAATAGAATTTATCCCACAGAAAATGGGAAACCACTGAGGATTTTAGACAGAGGTAAGAGTGTTGACCTGCCATCTCGAGATTTGCCTGGGTGTGCAGGATGCAGGAAAGATTGGCCAGGGATACGGATTCTAAAGGGAACCTTAGGAAGCCATTGCAATCCTTCAGACCCACAGGAATAGAGCTCGGAACTACGGCGGGTGCGGGGAGGGAAGGGCAATGCAAAGTCCCAGCCCTGTGGTGCTGTGTGGAACGCCCGAGCAAGGCTTGGCAACGGGCCCCCAGCCATGCCATTCATCTGGGCAGGGTACCCACGCCTCAGTGTCTTGATGTATGGAAACTTCATCTGCATATCTGAACAAGACTGGATGCATTTGAATTTTGCTAATGGATGACAAATCACAATAGCTACTTCTTTGCTCCAATTCTTTTCTCGTCTTAAAATAAACCATGATACTAGTCACAGCTGCACTTGCACAAAGAAATAGCAGTCTTTTACTTCAAAGAGAAACAGCTGAGGAGGGAGAAAGCACCCAAAATTGCAAGATCTGAGGATTCATCTGGCGTGAGAAGCACTTCTTACCCTAAATTGTTTCCTGTCTCACTCAAAGCATCCCCGGCTGGCCAGTACCTCCCATGTGAGGTGAGGGTACCACGGAGGGAGGGCCAGCCAGCCACCGTAGCTGCTCTCTCCCGCTCCGCTGCGCTCTCTCTCCCCGAAAGCAAACATTGATGCCATTCAAATATCTTTGAAAGAAAATATTGGGGGGGGGGGGAAGTGGCATAATTTGTGGAAAAGTTGACAGTTTAGATGCTTGAAGGTCACAGGCTTTGTGGAGAAGGTCACAGGATGCTACTTTTCAAAGGTCAACAGGAAAAACTGTAAGATTCTGCTCTTGGCCTTCTCTGGCTGTAGAGTAATCAGAAGCTGCAAACATCAATAAATCCTCTGGACAGCTTTCTATGGAGAATATAAGATTAATGCCATCTGATATTCGGGTTGTACAGACTAGAGAGAGTGGCACAAGAGTCTAATCCTGGGCAAAGAATCAGAGCTGCAGATCTCATTGTTACCACGCACTTGTGTCTGTCAACAGGCTCTTTGTGCCATCTGAAAAGATGAATTACGACTCGGATTTTTAAATTCCTAACGTGAAAAAGGGAGACAGCAAAAGTAGCCAGTTGAGGGTCAGCTGGGGAAAGTGGCCAAGGTGTGGACAGCAGCTTCATCCCAGACCATCACCCACAGATGAAGGCCAAGGCAGCCTCTGGGGGCACCCTGTGGGCTCCTGGTCTGGCTCCATGGCCCCCTCCTGCTCCCACCAGCCTGTCGAGTCCCAGCTCTGTGATCACAGCACGGTCACCCAGAGACCAGGGAGCTCCCCTCTTCTCTTTCAGAACAGTCCTGTCTTCTTTGGTGAAGTGCTCTGAGCCTCTGACCCTTTCCCTCTGAACCTGTGAAGCTGTGACGCTGGCATTTCCTGAGAATTGTCATCTGGCATCTTGGCTCTGTGTTTGTTTTTGTTGTTGTTTTGTTTTGTTATTTAACTTTTCCTAAAATCTGAGAGTCAAAAGGGATCCCTTGCAGCTTCTGCCTGGCCACCCCTTTCCAACCTGAGTGCATGGCCAAGCATCTGTTGTCTGGGGTCCCTGAGGAGACCCCCCGACCCAACCCTGCCTCCCTGGAGAGGATGAACCCCATCTTAGGACAGACAGGGCCCAGGGAACACTCGAAACCTTGCGACACCCTCATCCATGGCTGGTGGAAGGGAACCAGAGAGAACATACAAAAACCTTTTGCCACGTTCACAGCCTCTGACCCAGAGACTCATCCTAACACCTCTGCATGGGGGTCGCAGCTGCAGGCCTGTGGGCCACGTGAGCTGCTTCCCACCCACACCCAGGGCTTTCACCTCGGGGGCTTAGGTTGGTGTGGGCGGGAGAAGACACCACAGAACATCAGTGCGTGCTGCAAAACAGAGAATTTTTACTCTTACTTTCCCTCCACAGAGCCCTTGCTGCACACCAGTGGTGGGCCACATGCCCAGCTCCAGGCGGCCCACTGCAGCCCATCAGGGGTGAATTCCAAAGGAAAAAAAAATCAGACAAGCTAAACAGAGGGTCAGATAAATGAGCTACAGGACATCTGTTACAGAACATCACACAGCTTCCAAAGGTACATCAGGTGAAAAATAGAAGTATATGGTTGTGTTTTGTTTTATTGGGTTTTTTTCATAAATTATAAATAAATAATTAAAAGCAGGTAACTAGCAGCAGCTGGGATAAAGTCCCATGTTCTTTTGGGGGTCCATTAGGAGACAGAAAAAAATCAGCAGGGACTTTCATCTGCAGGGTGAACTCCCCCGCCACCTCCTCCTTCTGCTGTTTCTCATTCTTCTTCCCAATATCTGCTGCTTGCCCACCACCCATGTCGTCTCTGCAAAAAGAAGCTATGGAAAAGGACTTTTCAAGGACACTCCCTCTGTTCCTGGTCGGGGCCTGTGCACAACTCCACCATTTTGCTGTTAGGTGCAGCAGGTGAGTCCGGGGCCGGCAGGACACAGAACCAAGACGCGGAGCCGTCTCCTGCTGCAGTCTGTGAGAACTCCTGTCCAGCCCAGGGCGCTCAACCAGAGTGACCCAGTGAAGGGACTGGACGGGCTTCCCTTCAGCTCATTTATCAAACAGCAGCACAGTCACGTTGGAATTCTACCTTCCTACGCCTTTCCTCCCCTCTCCTCTCCAGAGCAGGCTCTCTTGGCACCACGAGCAGAGATGTTTGGACACTGGGTCTTTCCCAGGTGAACAGCAAGAGCAGGCAGCGACATGTGTGGCGGGGGACGTGGCTCCCAGGCTGAGGGCACTGCACCCCAGTGCCCAGCTGATTGGAGTATCCTTTAGAATTACAGAAAGGCAGAGCTATTCTGGAACCTCCGTGATGAGAGGGAAAGTTCTAAGAACTGGTAGGAAGAGGATCCAGTTACAGCAAGCTCAGGAGCAGCTTCCCACCACTCAGGGGCCAGTCCAGCTCTGGGGGAGTCCAGGCATCCCCACACAGGCTTCTCACCACTCCCAAGATGGTCTCAACCCTTGGCCACCCCCCTCCTCTCTCCAGAGAGCTGCTCTCAAAGGCCTGAACTGAGAAGGGAAGCAAGAGAGGTGGGTGCAGGTGCATAAGGTGGTCACTGTCTTCCACATCTTTCCAGCACCCTCTCCCCAACACCACCACCCAGAATGAGCTCAGGCCTGCAGCTGTGACTCCTCCCACCCCAGCAGTTGGGCTCCCCTGCGGATCCCTCCTTAGGGATCCAGGGAGGCCCCAGCACTGGTATTGACTTGAATTTCCCCAGGTGATGCTAATGTGCAGCAGAGTTCAGAGGAAGCCTCAGGTGCTCTAAATGGTGTGCCTCTGAGGGGAGGGGAGGCTGCTGCTCCTCCAGAGACCACCAATGCAAGTGCTAAGGCTGTCTGCAGCCTGGGGCGACCGGGGGGCGTCAGCCAGGCCCCATGGTGTGTCCTGAGTTGTTCACAGATCATCCTGGCTACTGAGGATTCCCGGCCCCTCCTCCACCATCACCACCAACCTTTTTCTTTCAAAAGAGCCTGCTCAAAGCCTCTGAGAGTGCTTCAAAGGGGCCCTCTCCACAGCCAGCACATGACGCTGGGACGGAATTCAAAAGGTCCTGGGAAGAGGCAAAACCACGATTTGAAGGGGAATTTCTCATGAGGTGGAATCTTAGTGCATGTGGTGAGCTCTTCTGATGTCAACTCTTCAAAAGAGTAAAGTGCTCCTTCTCCCCCTGGCAGAGTGAGATGAGCTGCCAGAAACCCAGAGAGGGGAGAAAAAACACTCTTTGTGATGGAGAAACTGATAAATTACCGGATAGAATGGGTCCAATTCTACTGCCCTTAGATCAGGAAAATAGAAATCCTAATGCTATTAATGGAACAGTGGCCAGGAGAAGTAATGCAGAATATGTGGGGAGAGGGGAGGGATATTCACATGAATCACATCCTTTCTCTTAAAAGCTTTGAAGATGGATTTCCCCTCACGGAGGTGGGGTGGGAGGTTAAAGAGATAGCAACTGCATAGTTAGAAGAAAAAGCTTCCCATTAGCACTGCTTATAAATTTTAACGCTTCGAAGGAGGACAAATTAAGGTTATCCAAAAAATAACGATAACTACCACTATTTCCAGGGCACATTTTTTTTTTTTTACTCAAAAATTTAAAAAAAAAAGAGCAAATGTCTATTCACCAAGGCCACCTCCACGCCCTTCTCAGGTTCGATTCCAGGGAAACATGCAAGTGTAATTATGATTCCTTCTGGTAATTCTGGGAAAGGGTTGCCTGGCCCATGAAGCCATTCCTGTTCTCTCTCCAGTACTCGACCCTGGATTCCAATGACTGCACTAAGTCCTAATCTGCCTTCTGTCCCACCTGACTGACCAGGAAATAAATCTGCAGAGAGCACCGCCAAAAATCACAGTATGTTGCTTGAATCACTTCAGGCCACATTCATCAGGCCATCGCTTACCAGGATTGAGGACCAGGGAGGGCGCCGTGGCACACAAGGACGTTCAGGTCCGGGCTCAGATCCTTCCTCTCCCAGATCCACCCAGCAGTGGCTGCACTTCCTGTGTTGCAAAGGCACCTGTAGATTGATCAAGAATATTAGCTACTGATGTCTAACTCCCAAGGCAATGTTCCAACAGTTCCTCTGTGGAGTAAGGAAATTGAGGGCTCAAAGCTCTTGCTTAGCAATGACATGCCTCTACTCCGGGCACCTGGGTCTTTTCCTTCTTACCTTAGGTAATCATAGCACAGTGGCAGCCAGGTAAAATGGGGGTTAGCTCCTGTTTCCTGTCATTTAAGGGTTGCATGGTCTTGGCACGTCATTGGACCTTGCAAGGCTCAGTTTACTCATGTGTAAAATGGCAAAACAGTTACAGCAAGTGCAGGGAGATCAGAGATTTAATGTGATGTGTTTACTCTTGTACTTCTGTGCTGAAAAACGTGTGTCTGGAATATGTGCAGAATGATGAATGAATTCTGTTGAGCATCGACTGGAGGGAAGGCAATACACCCAGAAGCACACTATTCAGCAAAGAGTAGTTGCTCAGTTAATGTTGGCTCTAGCCGTTATCATCTAATGTAGAATGAGATGAAAGCATATCCACATTCTTCATGTGAAAGCATTGTAGCTGCCTGAAAGGAGCCACATTTACACACACAGCGGAGCAGCCGCCTCTGCCGCCAGCCTCTAGTACTACACGGGTACGCACCAGACACCTGTGTGTTGCCACAGAACCTCCATAAACACTGCTGCTGTTTTTATCCAGGTTCCTCTTCACCTGAGGTTGGAGCAGGAGGGATGCAGGGATCATGGGATTTACCCCTCATGCTCCTGCAGAGGAAGGACCAGTCCACGCTTGCCCCAGGGCTTCTGGCCCCTTCAGTAACTGCGATCTCCAGACAGGTGTGACTCAGCCCAGGTGCAGCAGACACTGGGGCAGGTCTAGAGCACAGAGGACTAGGAGGTGGGCCTAAGAAGCAGGGTAGACGTCACTAACCCCAAACCACCATTTCCATACCCAAGGAGCCTGAGTGAACGTCACGGTCCTCCGCTGGCCCTGGTGGCCCTGTCCCATCATAGTTACTGTCCAGTGCTCAGCTCCAGAAATCAAAGTGGCTAAGCATAGTCACTGCCCAAAGCCTGCAGTGGAAAAGGGATAACCCTGCACCTGGGCTGTAAGGAACCCACTCGAGTGAGGGGGAAGAAGGGAACCAGCGGGACTGCACTATCTTCCTAGGGTGGCCATCCCTTGTTTCCGCCATTAGGAGGCGAGTCACAGAAACCTGTGGTCCCACAGTTCTGGAGGTGAAGTCAAGGGCAGGGTGTCGGGGACCTGCTCTTTCTGAAGCATCCTCCTGCCTCGGAGCCTGGGGAAGGCTCGCGGCTGCTTCCCTTCAGGGCTGCCCCAGGGCCCCGCACTTCCCTCCCTGTGTACAAATTTGGTGCAAGAATGACGCTGCACTTGTGTCAGCTCCCCGTCTCTGTGGGAAGCAACCGCAAGGAGGAAGGATTTCTTCTGGCTCCTGGTTTTGGGCCACAGTCGCTCGGCCCCATCACTGTGGGCTGTGGAGAGGCAGAACAGAATGGCGGGGAGGGAGGCTGCGGTGGAGCAAAACTGCTCGGCTCAAGGTGGCTGGGAAGGGGAGAGAGAGAGAGAGAGAGAGAGAGAGAGAGAGAGAGAGAACCCAGAGGAAGAGCCAGGGACTGGACATAGTTTTCCAAGGGCACGCCCCTGTTGTTGACCTCCCAATAGTGTCACAGCTGGGGACAAGCTTTCAACACAAGAGATTTGGGGGGACATTTAAGATCTAGACCATAATAGTAATCATATGGCAATGAACGTCATGTTAGTGTAAATATTGAATGTTCAAAAGTCAAGATATAAATAGATGAGGAGGGGAAACAGGGACCAGAAGTGGCCTGAGGGGCTGAGCACTTGTCTTCCACTTGCAAAGTTCCTACACAGAGTAGCACAACACTCAACATGGGGTGAGGGTTGTCTGACTCCCAACGTAGAGGTAAATTCCAAAGGAATCACCTAAAATAGTGGAAGCAGGGGACCCTGGGCCAGGGAAGGAAAAATCTAAAGGAATGTTGTTTTCTGCATTTTAAGTCTTTTAGTAATATTTGATTTTTCAAACTATATCCATGAGTTATTTAATAAAATTCATTTTTTAAAAAAAAAATAGAGAGAATTCTGTTTGCATGCTCAAGCAGGGAGGATGCTTTGACACTAGCTTCGGGTCACCAACCCTCCAGGTCAACCCTGGGACTCTCCCACCTGACTGTCAGGTGGGGTCCAGCTGGGATGCTGCACCACAGAAGGAAATCCCCACCTGAGCTTCTGCATGAGGGACTTAGGGCTGGGACGAGGGTACAGGCAGATGAGCCCTGGGAGTTCTGGGGAGAACATCATTGCTACTGTCCCCTCTACTGGTGGTGGCTCCCCTGCATCTGGGACTCGTGTTGCTGTGGGCAGGGCTCCTGGCCAGCAGTCTTCGGGGAGACACTTATCCCACAACAGGGCAGTCCCAGGCTGCATCCAGATTACTTGCATAAAGAAAATGATCTCAAGGAATTGAAACTGAAGACAAAGACTCTGAGAAATGACAATAACATTTACCCCTACAAATTACCCCAAAAGGGCACATTTCCATAAAGCCAAGAAAGGCGCGTGGTTTGAACAGCAGAGCACTTTTCGGGTACGGATCGACCGCCTGGAGCTTGGAGCTCCTCCTGTCCCTCATCTCACCCACCACGGGAGATGAGAGAAGATAAAACTCAGCGAGAGGAAGAGGGGAAAGCCCAGGCAGACTTCTCTGCAGTTACTGAAACAAAATCTCTAGTTAAAGGCCAAATCTGTAAACCTCCAAGTTCCCCAGTTCAATCTGTGGGCACGGCCAGGTTTGGAATCACAGTCTGGGACCCGTTATTAAAGCCATGTTTGAATTAATCATGGAGACAAGTGAGCCAAAAGTGCTATCTAAAATACATATGATTGACTCACTTGGTCTTTCTTTGTTATCTTCTTTATAGCTTTGCCTTCAGAAGCATAATCATTTAAGTTTAATCATTTAACATTAAAAATCTTACAAAGGAGCATAGAAGAAACAAATTTTGAGAATTAGAATCATAACATTGTTTAACATAGTGGTCTAAAAAAAAAAACCACTTGTTTTTGTGGGACTAAATGAGAAATTTCCTGTGTATAACCTGGCATCGAGTACAGCCAATGAGTCCTCAAGAGGAAGTCTGAGGTCTGGGGAAGACTGTGGGCTTTGAAACTGACAGATCTAAATTCAATTTCTGGCTCCAGGGCTCAACCAACCATGGCTATTAAGGATATCATCTACTTAGATAATTCTGAAAAATCAAAAGTTAAACATATATCTAAGGCCTAGGACAGTCTTTGGAACATAATTGTGCTCAAAATCATACAAATGTCCTCCTCCCCCAAGCCCCTGGGGTCGGCCCTCTCGCTGTGTGCCTAGCGCTTTTCTCCTGGGCTACCTGTCTCCTTCTCCTCTCGGATGAGCCCTGTGCTGATCCAGTCAATATGGATCTTTTTGTTTTCTGAACTCACTGCCTTTACAGGAAAAGAAGAAACCTCTTAAATGGCTCCACATTTCCTAGAAATTATTGGCATATTTTAAAAATCAACCCTTTTTTCCTCTCTTTAATGAAAGTTGAAATTTTGAGTTTTCTAAAATTGAGTGTCCATGTGATGCTTTGCTTTCTTTTCTTTTCTGACTGGATCTTCAATCTTGATGCTGTGCTCACTATCACACAGTGCTTCCTCTGCGAATATATCCCACATTGATCATCATCTGTCACCAAATGCAAGACCATGTACAGGGATCATGCGTCATGAATTTGCCAAGACAGTTTTAATATTGGGTAATTTTCTTCTCTTCAAAACTCGGGGGTTAAGTGTGTAACTAAATGTGATTTAATTTTTATACTTTTATATGATTTTTTATATCTATCATTCATCTCATTTTTGTGTTGAGAAGCTATTTTTATACTATTTTTATATGTAGATTCATTCATTCTTATTAGAATCTTAAAGGGGCATAAAATTAGATAATGATTGCTTGCCATATAATGAATCTCCTTAATTGAAATGAAGAAAATTATATAAAATCAGAAATTTTTTAGAAAATCTGGGACATCTGGTCATAAAATATCCCAGAAGGCAGTCAGTGTAATGATCCTACATTAATGAGAGAAGCTTACTGTAAGGAAACTATAGTAGGACTCCATTGTGCAGACAAAGTGTTACTCATCAACAAGATGAGGTTCACAAGGGAATATTTAGTGCTGATGGGACAAGCGTGGGAACACAGTGATCCATACAGACCACCAGGGTTCCGCAGACCCGAGAGACGGATGTCCAGAGCCACGGCTCCTCTCGGCTGTAGGGGTTAAGGTGGTGGAGGGTGCACATGGTCAAAGTACAAACCCAAGGAGACCCTCCACTCACGGAAATAGACTATAAAGCAGCAAGGGCTCTGTTTCCCTTGGAGGATGAGCATCAGCAAAGACCAGCACAGAAAACCGCTCCCTGCCACCCCTGTCGGGTCAGGCCGGGCTGTTCTTCTGAGAACACTGCTCAGGGCAGCTTCCCGAGCTCAGCACTCCCCACCCACCCGCCCGGGCTGCTTATCCAGGAAAGCACAGCGCCCTGCCACCTTGTGTGCTAAACAGCACTTTTGCACTCAGGGACCGCCGTGTGTCATCAGCATTGTCCACCACTGCAAGCTCTGAGGTGCTCTGGAAAGGGGTTAAGGACTGGTTCTCTGAGGCACAGGGAAGATGCTGGCCAATGTCTGTGGGGGCATTGCCAATTTCAAACTACCAGCAGTCTAACTGTTGAAAGCAAAAATGGGATTCCACACACTGCAGTCACCTCATTTAATCCTAGGAATAGCGAGGTGGATAATACTACTGTCTAATAAGGTATCAGCCATGTTACCATCCCCCAGGGTCTGGGAAGACAGTAGTCCTCAGCCTGGCCTGAAGGAGCTTTGCTGTCAATGTTCCCTCAGAAGTCACGGAACCGTCCACTTGCAGGGCCGTCTGCCAGGCCGCGGTGATACAGAGTGCTGAGGCACGTCCCCACACCATGGAGCTTGTCACCTAGTAGGAGGTCTGTCCCGGAAATCCTTAAGATACACCAGAGTTAAGGAACAGGAGCATCTAGAGAATCCAGTAGTTCCAGGGTTGGCCTGCTCTGTTTGAGGAGGGAGTCGGCCCCCCACCCCAGGTTTGGTATGTGCCATATGCATCACCTCGTCAGGGGGAGCCCTGCCAAGCCACAGTTGCCAGAGTCCCACCAGATGCTTCCACCTGCTAGGCCTCGGGTAGGGATGGACTTCCAGATATCAACAGTCTGTGGGTCACTCTGTGCGGTGACAAGATGACCTATATTTCTCTGATTCTCTTCTGTCAGAAACTTAGAAAGTTGTGTTCTTATCTGTTCACTGTCTCTCTTGGTCCTCCGTATCTGGAGACTGGCTGATACTCGGGCACTGGAATTTGATCGCTTCTTCTAGGATCGATTCTGGCCAGATCCACACTTGCTTTCCCTATGCTTGATTTTTAGAGGAACTTTCAAAATTAGTTGAGCTTGATTTTTTAATTCCTTAGAACCATTTCATGTTATCCTATTTCCATTTGTCACGAGCTGAGCTCATGATTTAGGCCAACCACATTTTCCCTGAGCTCTGAAACCTTAAAAATACTGTGACGTGGGTTTCCCTCTCTAGGAGGGCAGATGGTGGAAACCATGAAATGGTTCCAGCCCAATCCTGGTCCAGTGAGCAAGACCCCCGAGCCTGTGAGAGCTCCCTGTGGAGTCCCATCACAGAGTGGCCACAGCATGACGCTCCGCCCCCAGGTCAGGCTGCACTTATCCAGGTAACGGAAGGCTGAATGCCATCTGCAGCGGTGACATCTGGTGACACACCTCTGCTCACGCAGTGCTTGACAGCTTGAGAAACAGAGCAGCACACTAGACCCCAAAGGCAAGAGACAAGCCCCCTCTGCACAGAACCTCAGAAGTCCATGCCTCTCAAGGACCGAAGAGGAAGCTGGGGGGACAGGAGTCCCCTGGCTTAACCGCCACCTTCAGGACAGGGCAAGGCTCCGTTAGAACCTCAGTCCCTGCCAACACGAAGGACCCATTTAATCATAGAAATGTGGCTGGCAGGTTAGCCACATTTCTATGATTAAATGCACTGCAATTTCTTTGTGCATGATGATAACTTCGGATCAGACCAGAAGCACTTTTGTTTAAAAATAAATTATTTACAAAAATTGTGAATCCCATGCCAGCAATTATATAAGCAGTGGTTTCTACATAAGCAGTAACCTAACAATAAATAGAATTTTTAGTTAAATTCTAAATTAAATAAAAGTTTAAAATCTGCTATAGACTACTGCCAATACCTGGGATCACATCATGGAGGTACTTCTACCCCATAACCACTTCCTCCTTCAGATCCCAAGGGTGAGGAAAAGCTACTTCCCCAGGAGCTGTATTCTACTCTATTCTATTCTATTCTATTCTATTCTATTCTATTCTATTCTATTCTATTCTATTCTATTCTATTGCCTGGGCACCCCAGCCAGCCTCTGTTCTGAGTCTGCTCTGGAGGTCCCATGAGCCCCATTGACAGTATCTTTTAATTGGTTCATTTTAGTTACATATAACATTAGGATACATTTGACACTATCAAAAAAATGTGGAATGTAATCTGCTCTTCTTCAGCCCCCAGCACTCCCCCTCCACACCTGCTGAAATTTATTTATAGTTCTTTTTAGTTAGTGTCCTGCAGACGTCCTTGACACTGAGGCTGACTGTGCTGTACTCGTGTGTGTGCATGTCAAAGTTCAGCCTCCCTCCACTCTTCTTCCCTTTCTGTCCTTCTCCCCCCATCTCCTTCATCTCTTCTACTATCTTTCCTCTGTTTCGATGAAATTCCTCTCTTGTTTCTTCTCTCTTTATTTCCCCCTCTCTTATTTAAAGAAAATGTGCTTTATATTTTAAATATTGAGCTGAAATCAACCGAAGCACAACACTATACACAGAAAGTGGCAAAAGGAGTAGAAGAAGAGAAAGAGGGGGTCCAAGCAATGATGGAGGAGGGGGGGAGAAGAAGAGAAGGAGGAGGAGGAAGGAGGCAGGGACAGAAGGCCAACTAGACCTGCAAAATTTTGCCCAGATCTCACTGGATACACTAAAATATCTTCTTGAAAACATGAAATTATCTAAAAGGCTGACAGTAAGCTTCAAGACCTTCAGTCCTTGGGCAAGACCTTCTGAAAGCAGGTTTTCCTGGGGAAATGCGGCCGCCCAGTTGACTCACCTCTGCAGCTGACCGTCCCCGAGAGCTGCACGCCCAGGCTGTGCTCGGCCTGTCTCGCTTGGTGGAGCCATGCACCGTGCCCACAGGGTGCAAGCACAGGTATCAGAACCCGTGGTGGGTGGACTGCTTCATATTGTTTTACTATGAATTCCTAAATTCACCGAAAGTTTGTAGACACAGTATAACAAATTGCCCACATTCTGGACACTCAGTGTTGTCAAATCCAACTATGCTTACATCTGCTTCAGATTTTTTTCATAGATAATAAAACATTTCAGAGAGAGGGCAATCTCTCCCTGCCCCTGGCCACTGCTTATTCTGGCTTGGAAGTTTGTTAGTGCCATATATATGTTGATAGTACAGTTCTGCACCTATGCTATATATTTATGAAACACTTAGGAACATTTTGCATGTTTTTAAAATTCCACGCACTGAGTGTTACATAGTGTGTGTTCTACTACACCTTGCTTTCTTCTCTCGATATTATTTTTCTGAGACTTCTCCATACTAATACATGTAGCTTGATTCAATCTGCTTAATGCCTCTCACCAGAAGGCTGGGAATGTGTCCTTCACTGATGAGGGGAGACCACTGTACTGAACACTTTGTTTCCTGTCTTCCCTGGTATTATCTGCTCCTTGATTAGGCTCTTCTATAAAAACCTCTGGGTTTATTGCTTCTTGTTATGTATCATGTCGTCACTGGAGTATGAGCCATAACTTGGTCTTGTTGTCCGTGGTAGCTGCAGGGTTAACACCTCTGTTCAGTCCCAGTCATCTTAAAGTTAACAGACCACTTCATTGTTAGTATTTGAGCTACAGGAATAGCACGGTTCCTTTCCCTCCCTCTCTTTGTTCTACTCTATTTCATATAAACAGCTTCTGTACATTTTATAAACCAGCTTTTGCCGTCTCACAGAAGTCAACCGTGTGTCTCTTCCCACATCCTCCTTCAGTTTAGTAACTTGAAATCAACTATGGTTGGAGCATGTCAATCATGGAAACAAGCAAATGCTCCAAATTAAGGTTTTTCCTAGAAATCCACTCATTAAACACATATCAGGATAGCATTTTAAAACTCCAAATATGTGTTGTCATTATTTTGGAGTAAAAATTCCATTATCTTTTTAAAAGATTTTTTAATAGCAGAAAAATGTTTTAAATTTATCCAAATACTTGCTATTTCTGCTCTTCGTATTTCTGCTCACCTTTGTGGACATTGACCTCTACCTGCTGATTTTTTCCTTTCGCATGAGGGTCTTCCTTAACATTGCTTATAATGCATATCTACTGTTGATTCATTCTGTTTTGACGCAGTGCAAAGGATATTCTTGAAGACTGTTTCTTTCGGCCTAGACTCTAGGTTTGCAGGTTTGGTGGTCATCTGCTTCCTCTTAGGACTCGCAGGCGCCACTTCCTGGCTTGCCCGTGGTGCCCAGAAGCCCAGCTCCCAGTGTGGCTCCCTCCGCTTGCTCCCCGGGCCCCTCCTCATTGCTCATTTTAAGCAGTGTGGTGAGGTGCCTGCTCCTGGTTGCCCTGCTTTTGTTCAGTTTGGGGTTGGCTGAGACTCTTGGATCTGTGACTGTGGTTTTCCTCAATTTGAAATTCCCTTTATTCCTCATAGTGTGGGCTCTGCTCTCATGGATGTCCGTCCCTTCTCCCGCGACGTCTACTCTGCTGGTATCCCACCAGTGTGTCTTTCATTTCCAACACCATATTTTTCAAAAAGCTCAATTGGGGCCTTTCTTGTATCTTCCACAGCTCTACTTACCATGCTCTGTCTTTCCTGCCCCTTTTGAAACACAGTTATGGCGGCTTTACCTTCCTCATCTCGGCGGTTCGCTGGTGTGTCTCCCATGTGAATGGCACGTCCTGCTTCTTTGCATTACTGTCACCTTTTCATTGGATGCCAAAAGACTGAGTTTCACTTTGTTGGCTGCTGTGTGATTTTCACTTTCATTTTCCTAAGGATCCCTGAGCTCTGTGCAACGCATGGTTACTCAGCACTGAGCTGAGCATCCTTCACCTGAACCTTCCCAGTGCCCACCGTGCCCTGGGCTGCCACGGGCTTCTCTCCACCTGGTGTGAACAGCACTACTCTTGAGCTTTGAGGATTGTTGTCCTCTCTCCTCGCAGGTGGTTGTCCTCCTGGCTTGGGATAATGTCCCAAACACAGTGCTGTTGGGCCCCCTCAGAGGGCAGAGGGCTCCTGGTTACCCCTGGAGAGTTCTCTGTGTGCTCCTCGCTGCCCTCCAGGACCCTGCCTGCCTCGGCCGGCCTGGGCTCTGACTCCAATGCCTCCACGTAGAGTCTTTCCCTCCAGGCGGGTCCCCTCTCCTGTGCGGTGGCTGCAAACTCTCTGTGCACAGTAACCTGCATTTGGTCATAGGGCTGTTCTTGGTTGTCCCTTTCTCGGGAATCACTGACCTGTGCTTCCTAATGCCTCATCCTGGGAAACCATTGTTTTGTATTTTGCTCATATTTTTAGTTTCTTTCAAGACAAAGAATAGAATCCTTCTTCCAACTTGGCCAACCCTGGCAGCATCACATTGTAATCATTATAAACTGGCTTTAGATTTCACACCTAGTCTCACAGTTTGGTAAATGTGCATCTGCACTTGAAATAGGACTGCTAGTCATGTGCTAGTTTATCACTTTTCTAACCACTCAAGCCTGAGGTCTGACCCCTGACCTCACGGTCACTAAGGTGACCCTGTGAAGGTCTTAGAGAGATGGTGAGTCCCTGTGAAAACTATGTGGCTGACAGCTCCAGCCGGATTCCTATTTTCAATTTCTTCACCAGAGGATGATTTTTTTTTCCAAAGAGGATGAATTACTCATATGCGTGATTTAAAAATAAAATAGCTACATAAACATATGTAGCTTATAGATGGCATAAACACATCCCATGGCTTAAAATGCTAAAAATATTTGCTTACTCATCAACATTTGCAGATGGAAAATGTCTGTGTCTTTGTAATGCCACGAAGAACAATACTATATTGAAAACACTGCCACATGTAATTAGTAAAACTTAAAGCATTTTCTTTCCCAGGGAGTGTGTAGTTGTGTGCAAAGTTACTTTTCCTGTAAAGTTTTCTCTTTTCCAATTCTTCAGGTTTGTGGAGAGCAGCCTTCGTAGCTTACCTGCCCGTCCATGCATTCCGAACCTCATTATTAGAACTCCAGTAAGGAACTTCACCTCAGGAGATACTTCTTCTTGCTACCAAGGCAGAGGTTTTGTCTGTGAGTGGTGAACTGCTCAATGACACACTCATTTGACCTCTAGGAACATGGCTGAAAGTTGCAATTTGATTTAATCATCCTAAAGCATCACACTGACTGTAACTGAAATTTTTTGCTACAAAAGCACAGGACTAAAGAAGCCTGCGTACTTCCTCTTCTCTACCTAGCCTCCCCCAGTTAGCTGGAAGAACTAGCAGTTTGTATTGGACACATTGTCCCCAATTCTTTATAAGTTGGTCCTATCTACTCAGAGCAAGTCAGTGGGACAGATTTGGAAATGTGGTCATCTATTTGCCTGCCCCCAGCCTTGCTCAGACATGCTCTGCTGCCTGAAAGATAACACAGGTGATCTTCACATTGCTAACTGGTTATTTCACTGAAGTCATGCATATGTCTGCTACCCGCACGTGAGGAGCCAAAGCGTCCTCAGCTTGCTTAAGAGAAGCAGTGGCTTCATTTTCCCCATCCAGGAAATTCTTCACAGCCTCTTTGGCTGAGTCTTTTGATACTTACCTCTGCGTCTATAAATTACATGTGGATATTGCTATGTCTTTTTTGAAAGTATATTCTTTTAGTTTGAGCCAATGCACGTGATTTTCTATCAAAAAACAAGAATAAGCAGCTCTCCTCCCCCCACGCCCCACGCGCACCACCAGCAGACGCAAACTCCAAGAAAACCCCAGCTTCTCTGTTCTCTGGGACGGGATTCTCTCAGGTCAACGCCTGGGGCATCTCCAGGAGCGGCCCCTCCAGGATCCCCATGACCCTGTCATCCTGACCACTCCTTCCACGCGGCTCCACCCTTTCCTCCCCAGGCTGCCAGTAAAGATACGGTAACACAAGTTAGGTCATGATTTAATTTCCACATCATTTATCCACATAAATGCTGGTCGCACAGTATTAAGATGGTTCATTTTTATTTCCCATACATTT